TGCATCTATGAAGCCAGCATCACTCTCATACCAAAGCCTGGTAAAGATACAACCAAAAAAGAAAATTATAGACCCATATCCTTAATGGACATAGATGCAAAAATTCTCAACAAAATACTTGCAAACCACATACAGACACACACCAGAAAGATCATTCTCCATGATCAAGTAGGCTTTATCCCAGTGTTGCAGGGATGGTTCAATAAATGTAAGTCAATAATTGTCATAAATCATGATCAGGGGCTCAAAGACAAGAACCACATGGTCATTGCAATAGATGCAGAGAAGGCCTTTGACAAAATTCAACATGCATTTATATTCAAAGTCCTAGAGGGAACTGGACTGGAGGGAACATACCTCAGCATACATAATTAAAGCCATATATAACAAACCCCCAGCCAACATCATACTAAATGGAGAAAAACTGGAAGCATTCCCATTGAAATCAGGAACCAGACAAGGCTGTCCACTATCTCCACTTCTCTTTAACATAGTGTTTGAAACTCTTGCAAGAGCAGTAAGACGAGAGCAGGAAATTAAAGGAGTAATAATTGGAAAAGAAGAGATCAAATTATTCCTTTTTGCAGATGATATACTATATTTAAGAGACGCCAAAAATTCCACCAGAAAACTCCTAGAAATCATTGACACTTTCATTAAAGTGGCAATTACAAAATTAATCAACAAAAGTCTGTAGCTTTTCTATATACCAATAACAAGCAATCATACAAAGAACACATAGAAACACTTCCTTTCACAATAGCTGCAAAAAAATAAAATAAAGTATCTTGAAATAAACCTGACCAAAGACATTAAAGACCTCTACAATAAAAATTTTAAATCCTTAAAGAAAGAGATTGAGGAAGACATCAGAAGATGGAAGGACCTCCCATGCTATGGACTGGACAAATTAATATTGTGAAAATGACCATCCTACCAAAAGCCATTTATAGATTCAATGCAATGCCAATCAAAATCCCCATGACATTTTTCACAGAATTGGAAAAAACTATCCTAAGATTCATATGGAAGCACAAAAGACCTCAGATAGTCAAAGCAATCCTGAGCACTAAGAGAAATGCTGGGGGGATTACTATACCAGATTTTAACTTGTACTACAGAGCTGTAGTCATAAAAACAACATGGTACTGACACAAAAATAGACCCATAGATCAATGGAAAAAAATTAAAGACCCAAATATGTGTAAATGCAATTTCAGCCACCTGACATTTGACAAAAAGGTCAAGAATATTCCCTGGAGGAAAGATAGCATGTTCAGCAAATGGTGCTGGCAAAATTAGATCCACCTATAGAGGAATGAAACTAAACCCCCATCTTTCACCTTGCCCAAAAGCCAATTCCAAATGGATCAAAGACCTCAATGCAAAGCCTGAAACTCTGAAACTGTTAGAAGAAAACATTTGGAAAAACCTATAAAATATAGGTGTAGGAAAGGATTTTCTAAACTGGACATCAATTGCTCAGGAAACAAGGTCAAGAATCAACAAATGGAACCTCATTAAACTAAGAAGCTTCTGTACATCAAAGGAAGTAACCAGGGAAGTGAACAGAAAACCCACAGAATGGGAGAAAATCTTCACCAGCGACAGGTTTAATATCTAGAATATATAATCAACTCAAAAAACAGAGAATCAAGACAAGAAGTAACCCAATTAAAAGATGGGCTAAGGAGATGAGCAGAGAGTTCTCAAAAGAAGAAGTAAACATGGCTATGAAGTATCTTAAAAGATGTTCAATGTCACTAGTAATTAGGGAAATGCAAATTAAAACCACTTTAAGATTTCATCTTACCCAGTCAGACTGGCTAAGATCAAGAGAACAAATGATACCAAATGTTGGAGAGGTTGCCAGGAAAGGGGACTGTTCATCCACTGCTGGTGGGGCTGCAAACTTGTTCAACCCCTATGGAAAGCAGTGTGGAGAACTCTTAAAAAACTACAAATGAACCTACCATTTGACCCAGTTATACCACTCCTTGGCATATACCCAAAGAGTTCATCCTATTGCAGAGACACTTGTACATCCATGTTTGTTGCTGCTCTTTTCACAATAGCTAAGAGATGGAAGCAATCTAAGTGTCCCTCAATTGATGAGTGGATAATGAAAATGTGGTTCATTTATAGGATGGAGTTTTTTCAGCAGTAAAGAAAGATGAAATCCTGAAATTTGCAGGTAAATGGATGGTACTAGAAACTGTTATACTAAGTGAAGTAACAGAGACTCAGAAAAAAAGAAATCGACATATGTTCTCCCTCATCTGTTGATCCTAGCACCAAATCCTGATACGTGAATATGTATCCAGACATAACTACAGGAACCAGGATAATGAAAAGGAATTATGTCCTAAAATTCATGGTACAATGCTTAAAATGATAAGTGCTCAATAAATAGTGGAAAAAAAATCAGTGAATGATTTGAAACATTTATTACTCTCCTCTTTCTATCTGAACACATTCCCTAAACTTCAGTATGGGATAAAGGGAAAGAAGGAGCTCAAGAGAGGTGGGCCCATAGGAGAAGGGTATTATTAAGGGAGAAAGGGGGAAAATGAGGGCACCTTAACGGGGGAAACCATGATGGAGGGGTGAGACAATGCAAGG